TTTTTTTTTTTTTTTTTTTTTTTTTTTTTGGTTGCTAAAGGACATTGACATTTGACACTTGACACTTGACACTCTCTTGCCTTGCATTTTGCATGTGTATGTCTTTTTTTTTTAGTGTTTATAATGATGACTTGGGAGGAATGTTAAGGTAGTGACTGATTGATGCACTGGCAAAATGAAATGGAACATGTTCTCTTTGGTTCAACCTTTTTAGTGGAACCAAAACATGCCGGTCTTTTAAGCTAATGTTCATTTCTGTTCTATTTTTAGAATGGGTTAAACATATAATGGAAGTTATATGCTATGTTCTGTCTTGTTCTAATGTGTCTACCAAACATTACCTAAGGGTCTGATTGGATCAAAGGAGGGGATGAGGTAGAAATTGTTTGGTTGAGAGGAGGGGAGGTAGTTCTTTTCTTGTTTGGTTCACAAGGAGAGGTGAGAAATTTTGGAAATCAATTTACTTATGTATGCTTATAATTTTAAATTTATTAACATAAATAAAGATATTTTGGATACTATATTAAAAATGTTTTAAAATCCATCCCCTCCCTTCAAATCCCCCCAATATTGGAGGTGAGAGGAGTTAAATTTGGGTTAGGAGGGATTTTGCTTCCCTCCCCTCTCCTAAAAATTGAACCAAACAAGAAAAGTTTTTAAAAATCTCCCCCCTCCATTCTCCTCCAACCAAACATTATGTAAGTGTCTTGAGTTCTTTATATTTAAAAAATTTATGAATTATAACAAACCCTTACAGTAGCAGCTGATTGCAAATTAGTATTAACTTGTGGATAAGTTACCTGCATATTAGTACCATGCTTGTGCATTTTAGATTTTGGTCCTTCTTTGGTTCTGGATATAGACACAGTTTCCTGCTAATAAACAGTATTCAGTTTTTTATACTAATTGTAACCTTCAGAAATGAAACAATTATGGATTAAACAGTTGTCAAGAAGCTCTATTGTTCCAGCTGCTATCTTGATTTTAGAAATGAAATTAGAGTAGGTCCAGCGTCCAGGTGACAAAGTATTACTTATCCTATGTTTGCCAAGGAATGTTGGTCATCTTTGTATATGTAAAGTCAATGGGGTTTACAAATCTAATAGTGATAGAACTGATAGATTTAAACCAGTAAATGATAGAGATGGAGGCTAGGAATTGAGACAAGTTCTTGGTTACGACCCATTTTCCTTTATTGGTGGTTATTATGGAGTAAAAAAAGTCATTTCATCTTGTAACCAATTGGTACTGTCTTGAATGTATATTTTTGTGATTTCAACATAGTGCAATTTTATGGCATATAGGGGGTTCTGAACAGGATTTTTCTGCTATGGGTAATTGAGCATGCATCATGATTTGTGTTGTGTGAGACCCATTATAAGGCACATGACAGAAGCATTGCCTCCCTGCGTGGTAATGTATGTGGGTTTGTAGAATTAAACACTGAAATAGATCAAATAGTTACTGTCTAATCCTGTTGCATAATTACAGTGTTACTGTTTGCTAGTAGCTTGTTATGCATTTGAAACAGGATTTTATAATTATACTTCACTTTTGACATGTCATCATATATGTAATTAGGTGGTTGAGAGTGGAGGCAAGAACATAGAGGTTGCTGTGATGACTAAGGAGCATGGTCTGCGTCAACTGGAAGAAGCTGAAATTGATGCCATCGTAGCTGAGATTGAAGCAGAGAAAGCAGCTGCTGAGGCTGCTAAAAAAGCCCCTCCCAGGGAGACATGATTTTCTGTTGTTTTACGAGAGCGTTGTTCTTGCTAGGTGTTGGCTGTTCTCACTGAAGCTAAAATTGATCCCATTGTGTCTGGGATTGAAACACAGAAAACGGCTGCAAAGAATACCCTGTTTAAGGAGACATGATTTGTTACTTTTGTTTAGCTCGTGAATTGTTCTTGCTAGATGTTGGCCTAACTTAAAATGACTGTTTTATTGTTTCTGGGTACTGCCATATAGTATTGGTCAAATTAATTGCATGTCATTATTATTCAAGTTCAAATTGAGTCGGGCGATACAATGCATTTTCATTTGCAAGAACTAGTTCTTTATGCTGGCCAATACGACTATGGTTATGAAATGTATTTTTATACTTTAAAAGAAAGTTTATGGCGTGTCTGGAGCGAGGTAGGAAATATTGAAATTTGAATTGGAAGGTAAGTGGAAGCGTAAGAGAGTATAATTTCAGTGAAAAGAAGGTGATAAGAAATAGTCACAAGAAGATTCTGATGCATCCAGTTTGTTTGTTCGTAGATGATATGCCAAAGCTAGTCCTGGGTGATTCTGCCAGGGTAGATCAAATTTTTGCAAATTTGATCAACAACTCAATTAAGTTTACTATATTTAAGTCAAACCTATTTTTTATATAAATTTTTCAATACGATAGTGGTGGTGGAACAAAAAACTACTGTGATTAGTATAATTATGTGAACTTTACAGGCTTCAGCAAAAATTTCTTGCAAAAGTTCTTAATTAGTTATCGTTCGTTAAATATGACTTCCATATTCACCACTATAGTTGTCTTATAATAAAGTTCAGTTAGAAGATGATAAAAGGCTTTTTTAAGGCATGAATTATGTTCTTTTTTGTGGGAGGATTATGATAACATCTATTTAAGTTGGGTTTAGGGTTTATTGAGCCATGTTCGTTTGAATTAATTTAAAAAATCTTATGTCCTTTTATTTAAATAAATTGAATTAATGTGTGCTAGTTCGAATTATTCAATCATAGGAGGGTAAAAACTAGCTGGTTTATTGTTTTCGAGGAAACTTGTGTTCATATAAGCGGTCATTAGCATTCTTTTAAGAATTTCAAAGATTAAACAAATGGTTCAACTACTATGGATTAATAAAGCACAGAAACTCCGAAGACTAATCTCGACTCTTTCAAATGGTCTGCAGCGGGTCACATTATTATGAGACGATGGTGTGAAAACCCAAATTCTCGCAGTTATGATACAACTTTTCCCATAGAGCAAAAGAAATCGCGGTGTTCACAAAAGACCAAAGCAAAGCAACATGAAAACCATGCAAAGAGGACTTCTAAAAGAGATAACAAGGTTTAATTATCTTTTTAGTGCTTATAGTTGCACCATCATAAACTTGGGACTCTCCTGTTCTTTGTTGGGTTAGAAGTGAGGACTTACATAAACTTTTTGCATACAATAAATGGTCGTGTTGTCTTTTGTTGATTATGCAAAAGCTAATATCAACATTGGTGGGGGAATGCAAATTTCTTGGACCTCCCGAACCAAAAAATACTTGATTTTCCCTTAGATCATATTATATATAATATCTTTAATATGCTTGATCATGGAATTTTTTACTATTATAAAACTTTTTTAAAAAAAATTCTAAAACAAACCTTCCAAATTTATTTACAGAATTAGAATGGATTACTGTAGCTGTTTAGAATTCGATTTTTCAAAAATTGAATTTTGAACGGTATATTTTGTTTTTTTTTACGTAAAAATTATTTTATTAATTATATAAATTTATATTAAATAATTTATAATTATAAAAATTAATATATTAATAATTTATAATATTAATAATTTATACTTTTATAAAGTAATAAATTTAATAATTTATAATTTTAATAAATTATATTTTAATAAGCTATAAATTTAATAAGCTATAATTTTATAAATTTTAATTTTAATAAGTTATAATATTAATAATTTTAATTTTAATAAGTTATAAATGAAAAGTAATACTATTATGTTTATAAAATTTGTATTTTTATGTAAATTTTTGTAAGTTAGAAGATGAAAAATAATATTGTTATAAGTTAAATAAAAATGAGAATAATTTTATGTTTATATAATTTATTTTTTTAATAGAGTTGATAAAATTTAATAAGTTAGTTAATATTAAATATATTTTTTAATATTAAAATTTAAACAATGATATTTACCAAACTTAAAGTTCATTACAACAACAAAAATCAATGGTTGCGAGACTAAATGCATGACCAATATTTGGACATGTCTTCTTGGTGTAACTTTCGCAATCCGAAAGTTTCCGATCTTGCGACCTATTAGACATCCTTTTAAAGATCTCATCAATTAAGGAATGTCCGGATACTAGACTAATTCTTAATTAATGGTTTTGAAAATAGGTTCTTGGAGTCGCCACCAATGTTTTACTCAACATTGGAAAAAGAAAAGGTTTTTAAAAATTCAATAATGGCCTTGATAACTAGAATTGGGTTCGGGGGTCGGTTACGTGTAGGTTACATGTAGGGAAGGTATTAAGCACCCCTACAACGCCCTCAATCGATACCCTATGATGAAGTTAATGTGATAAGAAATAATAAATTAAATATTAGATCCCCTTTATGAATTACTATTTACATGCTTGAAATTTAAATTACACGGTTGACCCTAAAACGTCTACATGATTGCTTTTCTTATAATAATGTATATTAAAAAATAAGAAATAAAAGAGAGAGAAGAAGATTAAATGAAATACCTCGTGACAAGCTTTGTTAGATCTTCAGGTATGGAAAATCTAGGTACTTTGTGGCAACCTTTCACACTATAATTGCCTCACAATACTCAAGAAATACAATAGGAGAGAGAGAGAGAAAGAAATTTCGAGCTCTAAAGAGTCCTGGATGAAATTTTTGGAGTCCTAAGAACTGTGCCCAAGCTGTCTATTTATAGGCATCTGAAGGGTTTCCAGAACGGCCCGTTCCAAAACCGGAACGGCCCGTTCTGGATCCGAACGTTGTGTGTTAATTTTGTAACTGGAACAACCCGTTCTTAAATTGGAACGACACGTTCCAGAGATAAGATTAACACATAATTGGCTAGGTTGGAACGACCGTACCAAACAAGGATTTTTAGGACTTTTTAATAACTTGGAACGACCCATTCCAGTGTAGGTTTTGACCCTTTTTTAGGAGTTTGGAACGACTCGTTCCAATTTAGGAACAACCCGTTCCAAACTAGGGTTTTAGGCCCTTTTAGGAACTTGGAACGGGTCGTTCCAAATTGGGAACGGCCCGTTCTAGTTTTGCAACAGCCCGTTCCAGGCTTCTAAAACCATCTTGTTTGGGCTTTTAGGCCTCCTGATGTCTTGTCTTGTTATTTCCATGCTTCGGGAGCTCCTTTCATTGATAATAGACGTCCATTTCATTGCTTGTATGCCCCCGGACGAAATTGGGTATCTACAATAACCAGGGATGTGACAATAGGAATAATTTTTTTACACGATTATGTTGTTCTCTAATGTCTATCTCTATTCTAATCCTGCTGGACTTGAGCCGACCCTTGGAAGTTCGTTTGATTTTAGGATTTGGCCACAAAGTTAGGCCAGTTAAAGTAGGCCAATAATCTTCGTGTCAGAGCTCTCCAAATTTTCCTTCGTATACCTTTGAGACTTGTTGTAAGGTATATATGGGATATATGCAGCTTTTGAAGTCGTGGTGTGCATGTAAGAATGAAGCAAGTACATGTGAGCAAGCAAGGGATATGAAATTTCTAGAACTTGCCACAATCACACCACATCTCATCTAGCCTTACTGTAAATCTCCCAGCGGGTCAAACTTCTCCCGGATGTTATGTTTCTTCCACTAAAAATCTAGTGCTTGATCTGTCAAAGGTGATGACTCTATGAGTGTTTGCCTTTGACTGTGCATCTTGAATAGTTTTAGTTGCAATCTACGAGTAGACATGTCCAACATTAATCATTGCATTCACCTCCCTACCTCTCTCAACGAAGAATTTGTTGCAACAAGTGTATGTCTCCATTATCATAGAACAAATTGGAAGGTTTCTTGTTTTCTTCAAGACTGAATTAATAGACTCTGCTAGGTTTGTTGTCATGTGTCCCCAGCATCGTCTATTCTCTCATGCCAATGTCCATTTTTCCCTTGGGATGTTGTCCAACCATTGTGTTGCTTCATCATTATTATCTCGTACTATGTTGTAATAGTAAAAGAATCTAGGTTTAGTCATTCCATTGCTGAAAAAAAATTATTAATTAAATTATGAAAACTAAGTAAGAAAGTTTATAAAATATTAATGATAATGAACAATATAGGAAAAAATAAAATTACCCATGTTGATGACATCCTTCTTCAGTGCTGCATTTTTGAATCGTCGCATGAAGTCCTATGCAATATGTTTAATGCAATAGACATGGACATAATTGTTTTCTATCCAACCACTTCCATTTATGGAGTATGCACTTCTAATAGCCTCGTGACAATCTAAAATGAGGCACAACTTGTCTTGCGGTGTAACATATCGCCTTAAGTTTTTAAGGAAAAAGAACCATGCATCGCTTGTTTCACCTTCAACAACAGCAAACACAATGAGAATTATGTTGTTGTATCTATCTTGCGCAATTGCAACCAATAGCGTCCCTTTGTATTTACCGTATAAAAATGTTCCATCCACTCGAACAATTGATTTACAGAAGACAAAACCATCAACGCATGGTTTGAAGGTCCAAAATAACCTTTTGAAGAAAACACTTGATGGCATCATTGCTTGCATTGATGGAGAAATGTGATCAATGAGAAGGAAGCCTTGACTCGTGGGATCAAACCTCTTTAAGGGAGGTCTTTGAGGGAGGAAAGGGACGAAAATGGAGGTTGAGTAGAAGGTGTTTGATGGAATGCTTGAGAGGTACTCTAAGGTTTGGCTCACTCCAAGGTACATGAAGGCCATTCCTAGGGTTCTTACTCAAGGTGGAGATAGGTAGGGTTCTTGGCTAAAAATGGCCAAGAGAGACTAAGGAAAATATAAAGGCACAAAAGACTCACTCTATATTAATTTCCAAAGTATTTACAAGGAGGCTAGCCTAGGGTATTTATAGAAGGGAGGATGCATTTAGGGTTACATTTGAGAGTGCATGGCCAAGTAATGCAATCCAAATGCACTTCAAATGAAACCTAAATTAACCCTAGATGTTACTTGGTGGCCAAGGATGGAATCTTTGGGTTTGGTTAAGCTACATCTAGGTGCATGATAAGACCATGCAACCTAGGTGCCTCCACTTGGGCCTAAGCCTTGCCAAGTCCAAAAA